GCGCCTGGTCATGTCCTGGTCCACACCGCTGCGTCCCCGAGTCCCGGACGACATTTCCCTCCTCTTCTTCTCCCCACAGTTCGACAGAACTCAGGAGACGAAGCAGCCACAGAGGCGCATACAAAACGTTTTTTGTCGTTCCATCAGCACCTTCGTGGTGTGCTTCTGGATAGAGGCGGCGATCACGTGCTCCACGCTGGGGTCAGGGAGCAGCAGCATGCAGCGCACCTTCCCCACAAAAGTCTTTTTCAGTTCTCTGGTCACGCCCCTGGCCGCCAGCCTGTGCTTGTCCATCTGGGGCGTGAGCTCCTCTGGCAGGGTGAACTTGTCCAGCGTCAGCTCCACCAGACGTTTGATGTGGGCCGCCGTCACCACCTCGTTCAGGCAGGACAGCGTCCCCGTCTTACTCAAAACGCGGTGGACGGTTAAAACCGTAAACATGTGGATGTCCTTCTCGCGGACCCTGCGGTTCTTGGCGAGTGTTTCGGAGTCTAGCGGTTCATCCACAGGTCCCTCTTCCGTGGACTCTTGGACGGCTCCGTCCTCCACCGACTCTTCTGCGCTGTCTTCCACGCCGTCCTTTGCTTCGTCGTCCTCATCTGCGCCTTCCGTGGACTTCTCCTCCTCTTCCTCCTCCTCCTCTTCCTCCTCCTGTGTCTTCCTCTTCCTCATGACTCTCACTCTCAACTATAGAAACATCTGCAGCGTTCTGCAGGAGGTGAAAACCACTTACTTGACTTCTGGACCTCTGCCAAGGTGGAAGTAACCGACCCTTTGAAGTGGCGCCATCTGCCTTTGATCTGCAGTTAAATATGACACGGTCACATGTCTGTGATGTCATCATTTTCTACTGATATGGTCTGTTAGACTGGGGAACAGAAACAGAGAAATAGTCACTGTATGTCTACAAGAAGTTGAACTACAAAAGTTCCATATTTCGGTGGCTTCCAAAGTGGGGGGCGAGGACCACATTGTGTTCATAGACCAGAGTAGAAGTTCCTGCGATACAACCAATCAGTGACACATGATGATGACTGTGCTACTGGTGCAAATTATTGACTATGACATTGTGTCGTGGAGACCTGTCCAGGGTGCAACAACGCCCTCATCTGGTGAACTTGGCGATCAGCTCCAGCTTCCTGCGACCCTGTAAAATAAAATATTAAAAGGTAAAAAGTGAATGAATGACGTTAAAAAAATGAGAATAAAAAGAAAACATGAGTGACATAATGATGTAGCAATATTTTATTGATGTCAAGATTTTCTATACCAGGTGTAACAGCAATTGCGAAAAAAAGTCAAACTAGTCACGATGGTGCTGCACGTATGAACAAAGTGTGCTGACGAAAGTGCTTCCGGCCGCACCAACGCGGACATCAACAAATGATGTTAAAGACTAAAACTAGGGATGCCCCATATTAGCAAAATTAAGTAATATCGGGGTTTTTTTTCTCTAAAAAATTTGCTAAAATCGTACATACGTACCCCATATTAGCAAAATTAAGTAATATCGTATTTGTTTCTCTAATAATGAAAATCAAATTTGCTAAAATCGTACATACGTAGAGTCCTATGACGTTTAGCTCAGGTTTGGGGGCAAACGGCTGCATATATCGGTATCGGTTGATATGTCGGAAATTAAGTAACGGCAGATTCGGATATTGGCAAAAAGTTAATATCGGACATCCCTGACTAAAACGCAAATCCATCGGAAATCTGTAAAAAGAACCAAACCAAGGTACGATAGTTCACCATCAGAAACAACAGATAAAAAAATGTTAGTAAGCAATATACAATTTACAAAATATTCTAGTGGATTAATTCATCTAGAAAATGAGCTCGGCCGGAGTAAAACAAGCTACGATGTGTGGGGGAGGGACCGAGGTGAAGGTTTGTCCATCGTAAAAACAGGAATGTGTAGAGAAGAATACTGACTTTGAAACGATCACACACACACACGCACACACACACAGACACACACAAAATACGTTCTATATAAAAATCTCTCTCTGACTGTACCATTCCACCTTTTCCCACTATTTACACCTCACCTGTGTAAGCAAAGGTTCTCAAAACTACTCCCTGTATGTATTAATTCATTATTTGTTTTATATATTTTTTTATACAAAAATAGTTCATTTCTATTGTGGATCTGTGTTTTGTTTTTTTCCCCCATTTGAGATATTTGGAAAAAAAAAAAAAAAATTAAATGCATATAAACACGAGGACGAAAACCGTGAAAGTTTTCTTGACTCGACAGTTCAGTGGATTCCGGCACTTTCTTTGATTAAAACCAGATAAAAACACATGACGAAAAGCATTTTTGGCATCAGCAGCGACCGTCCAGCAGGTCCAGGGAGAAGACGGCGCCCTCTAGTGTTAGTCCCATTTTGAACCCCTCCTGAAAGACAAGGTCAATGGACAACTGTGACGTTCAGTGGACGTTCACACCAACACAGTACAATATCAAAAAATATGCGCCATACCATCTATGGCCACAAGAGGGCACTGTTTAGACCCGACAGCCAAACGCTGTTACAGTCTTTCCATAATAACTTTTTTTGTTTAATCCTACTGAAATAAATGTCTGGTTGGTGCTGACATATGGTCCAGAAAATACAGTCAAAAAGTTCTGAGACATTTTTGCATCATCTCCTACAGCTTTTACCAGGGTTTCTATTTTATTTTTTATTTTTTTCAAAATGTTTCAGAACTTTTTAACAATCAGTACTCCCACTAGAGGGAGGCCAAGTACCACTAGTGCTACATGTTCTTCACAAAAGTGCTGATGCATCATGCCAGGCCATGCACGGCTGACAGAACCGAGCTTATTCACAAAAGTTCTGATTAATTACAGTCACACATGCTGTGAGAACGAACAGAACAAAAGTCCACAACGTGCAGTTAAAAATTTAAAAAAAACAACAACAGTCAGGTGAACAACAACACACACACACAGAGTACAAACCATCTCTGACGCTGCAGGCAGAACAAAGAGAAGGAAAGATTAATTAGGTTTAACTACAGAAGCTGAGAGGAAGAGGAGGAAGATGAAGAATGAACTATGGGCAGGGCTTTTCCTGTGGAAAACATCATAAATAATAATATTTAAAAATCAATGTTCCGCTCCGTTGACAGCATCCTCAAGATTTAATATTTAGCACTGTGAAAAAGACTCAGAAGGTGGCAGTATTTCAACTCCCAGGATTAAGATTTCACAGTGAAGTCCAAAGAAGAAACAGAGCTGAGGTTGGTTAGCCTTGTTAGCTTGGGTTAGCCTAGCATGGGTAAACACTGACTCTTAAAACAAAACGCTACGTGACAGAATGGTGCTAAAACACCGCTAACATACAAAGCTAGATGCTAACTAGCTGGCTCCTCCTGGCTCCAGGGACCCTTTGTTGAGAACCGCTTTAAAATCCAGTCTCTGTTCAAACGTTTACCTGCATCTCGTCCAGCTTGGACTGAATGTCTGGAGGAAAGTCAGCAGCCCCGCAGGTGAACGGATCGAAAGGCTCCGCACCAAACAAGTCCTTACCTAGAACCACAGACCACAGGTTTGTCCGTGATCATTCTCTGAGCCGCGCTGCTCAGATTTACGAGAAAATCAGGAATAAACGTATTTTAAAAAGTCCGTTTTATTATTACGTTACTCACTTATGTCTGGTGGTAACGTGGTGGGTGGGGTGGGGGGGGGGGGGGGGGGGGCAGCCGTTACTGGCTGCCGTGGGCATCAGCGGTGGCACCGGGGAGAAGGGGACCATGTCGAAGATGTCCGTGGATTGTGGTTTGGTGGAAACGCTTCCAGCCTGCGTTCAGAGTCACAGTAAAGGAAAGGGTTAGAACGGGCTGTGATCGGTGACACGTTGGACCAAGACTGAAGATTTGGACAGAAAGGAAGCACAGAAACCACAGAGCGCAGGCAGAAGGAAGTAAGAAGTGAGCAGAGCAAGTAGATTGTTGGAGGGGGAAAAAAAGGAAAAGCAGAGAGTGTTTACACGAGGCCGGGGGATGCTGCACCCCTCCACGGGCTTAACAGGAAGGACAGCGGGTTTGGCAGGCGGAGGAGTTAGTAATCCAGTGGACAGGTTGGAATCTGGCGAGCTCATAGGAGTGAGCGTGACAGATGAGATTTCCAGACAGGACAGCGACTTGATGCTGTAACAGCAGTAGAGAGACGAAGGCCTCTGCAGCGAGAACGCTTCGTCGGCCGTGTTAATGTGCAGACGCTGGGGGGGAGAGAGAGAGAGAGAGGGAGAGAGAGAGAGGTTGGCACACACAGGAGGAGGAGGAGGAGAGACCGTGTTATTCAGTGTGTGTACCTGCGGTCCCTGAAGGCTCTCTAAAAAGCTGGCATTTGAGGCACTGAGAGGGGAAATGTTTTCGGCGCCCTCATCAGACCAATCAGCTGTGTAATTGCTTTTGCACCACAGTGGGCCGAGACCCCCGACTTAGTCCTTCAGCACTCAATGACACACGCAGACGCAAAACAAAGCTAACATTTGTTCACCTGGTTTGTGATCGTGGTCGGTCGGGTGAAACTGAAGATGATACGCCGAGGTTAGTCAGAAAGTTCTACGACAAATAAATATCTGTTTGGGTAAAAATGTGACGTTTGCTCTGATGCTTCAGTTTTGAGGCTTCATTCAAAGCTGTTAGAGAACTGACGCCTCGCATGTACAAATCTGTCTGAGAACTTTTTGACTGACCCTTGTAATGCAGTGAAGGCAAGAATAAAATAATCTGAATTCAATTTCAATATGAATTTGAAGGTGTGTGGGCGTGGCCACAGGTGATGACGAGGTCGTGAACTGGTGGCACTGGTAGAGTTCACTGTGGAAACCCAGTCAGAGTGAACAGAGAATCGTCCTCACCGCTGGAACGTGAGGAATCATCAGCTGATCCTCCAGATCCCGGAGCTGTTTCTTCAGCTCAGAGTTTTCCGACTCCAGTTCTTGAATCTGCAGACACGGCAGACTGAGGAGGTCAGATCCAAAACACACACACACACACCTTCGAATACGACTTTCTGTCTTTTTGTTCCACTTAATATGGAATCTTTTGGGTTGTATTGAGGAACGTTGCCCTGCTCTGATTGGTCAGTGTGCTCAGATACTTGCTCTTTTCTGAAGATTCCCAATCTGTTTCCTCGTCTCCACGTCTTTGCCTCCGGACTCCAGAAACTTCTTATAGGCCAAGTCGAAGGCCTGGCCGATGGTCAGAGTTATTTCCTCGGCCTGCGGCAGAACCAGGACACTCATGAAGTCTGGTCAACCACACACACACACACACACACAGACCCCCCCACACACACACACACCTCGTCCGTTCCAGAATCATTAACGTCTGACTTGACTCAAAAACGGCACTTACACACTTTTCACTGTCGAACACGTAGCACAGGTGTTTGTTGGACTCGGAGTCTTTGCAGATGAAGGTGAAGATCCTCTTGTCGGTTTTGTCGTCGGCACAAAACGATATCCTGTGGAGCTGACAGTTATGCTGCACATCCTGGAGGAGAACAACAACAACAACGACAAACAACAACAACGACGACAAAGACGACGATCATGAATCATTTCGTATCGTGAGTCGAGTGAATCGTTACATCCAGTTCCCCTCACTTTAGACTTGGGGTCCAGGATCTTCACGCCGTAAATGGAGATCTGCAGTTCCACCTTTGGGGTCTTCTGGCCCTCGGACTTTTTGATGTGTCTCTGGAACTAAACAAAATCATCGTATCGTACAAAATACAGAGACTTTTTATAAACCATCATAGCCAAGACTTTAGAAACTTTATAATTTTAGATACTTTAACAACAGCTGGTTAGTGTTGGACCATTTTACCTTCAACTTTCTGACTGCATCCTTCACCACCTCAGTGCCTTTGGGTGATTCCACCTCTGTGTTTCCCAGGAACTGGAGCAGAAGAGAAGAGAGTTTTCACATCAGTCAGGAGACGGAACAAACCCAGGGAAGAAACAAGTGGAAGTTTCACGTCTTAATGAAACCAGAGAGTTGGTTTAACCACCATCACCACAGTTCTTCTCTTCGCCAACAGATGGAGCTGTTTGACCTCTGTTAATGAAGATGTTTTTTTCCACTGGGCAGGTGCAGGCTACAGTAACAAACAATTCATAAACAGTGACCTGGGGGCCCCCTTCAAACCAAAACAACATTGCCCCCTGCTGGACTACAGCCAACAACTCAGACAGTCAGGGATTATCTGGACTGCACAGCAGAATCTGTGGAAACTTCCAGTGACGAGGCTTTGGTTAATTAAACCAGGAGGTGGTGGACCACTGAGGAGAGCTGGGGTTTTAATCATCTTGTTAACGAACGTTTGTTAAAGCACTGAAATCTACCGATGTCCTCCAGGGAAATTTGGAAATCGTCTAAACTGTGAGAAACCAGAAGTGAAACCCACCGGCACTGTCTGCCTCATTGACAACTGTTGCCAAATGTTGTTGATGCAACGAGGTCAACACCCACATACATGTCCATGTATTTCAAATATACCTTTTTTTTTTAGATGTAAACACACAAAGTTGTGCCATAGCCACCCCGCCGGGGGGGAAGGCAGGGAGGGGTTAATCTTGCCCGCCTGATGAATTTTTAAAGTTTGTCTTCAATATTTCAGCTACGTCTCAGAGCAGAAACATGTAGGTTTAGGTTAACTTAGTGGTTCCCAAAGTGGGGGGCGCCCCCCACAGGGGTTGGTTGGCATATTATCATATTTATTGTACAAGAGGAATGGTTTGTGAAGAAACTGGTCACTCTAAACTGACTGTTTATTGAAAGAAAACCCATACTATCTAGGGATGTCGGATATCAATTTGCAGATATCCGATATGCCGATATTGTCCAAACACTTAATTTCCGATTCCGATATCAACCGATACCGACATAGGCCTGGTAATATTTATTTATTTATCTGTGCAAACCACTGTATGAGAATGAGATTAGTTAAATGAGCTGTAACGCTGCCATCTAGTGACTTTCACTTTAATATACAACGATTATATAATATAACGATTCTTACTATGAGTATGAGATTAGTTAAATGAGCTCGGACATCGGACATTCCTAATATTATCCATTCATATTCACTTTTTTTTTTAACTCAACTTACGCTGACAGAAAATAAACCCCAGCGTCAGTTCTTGTCCTTAATAAAGAAACAAGGCCGTAGTTTCCTGTAGAAGAGCCGCGTCATTAAACATTAAAAACAGAGTCAGTCTGACAGGGCTCATTAAACAAACAGCAAGGTCAAATCACTCAACAGTTTGGAGCATCATCGTCCAATCCTCAGTGACTCCTACCTTGACATTGTAGGGGATGTAGTGCTTGGCCAGTGCATCCGGGGTGTGCATCCAGGACTTATCTGGAACGATAGGGTTAGGGTGATGAGTCCAACACGTCACATCACTTTAATGACATGGTATCGTCTTCTGTGTGAACACAGTCAGCACCGATCGCTGTCACAGCTTCTAGATCTAATTCTCTGTGAAAATCCTTTGTCTTGTGTTTTTTTAACACCTGTACCATGAGATTGTTCAGTTTCTTTTTGCAGAGCACAATCATTTTCCCCCCGTGGGGAGCCTGAGGGAACGGCGATACGAGGACGGAGTATTTCCTCCTTTCACGCAGAGCTAAAAAGGCTGGAAGAAGTGTAAATTCCCAGGAAGTGATCTGACAAGGTGTTTTTCAAGTTGTCAGCACACGTTCATTTGATTAAAGGAGGGGAGATGAACCGGGGCCGTTATCTCCTTCACCAGCAGTCGGCCGCACAAAACAGCTACAACGTGAGCGCTGCACGAAAAAAAGCGGAGCGGAGTGATACTGTGTTGTTGAGCAGGCTGCCAATAAAGATGTCTGAACATGGAGCTGTGGGGAGGCACGCTGACTGAAGGTCACCTCATGAAGTTGACTTGTCAGCTAAGGTGTCAGATTTAAATGTGCTACAGTCTCCAAGGGATGTGTCCTGTGAACAGCCACTGCATCAATGTCACGGAGACTTGTTTTTTTTTGGTTTTTCTGGAGACATAATCGACCAACGGCGAGTATCCTGAAGAACCATTTGGGACGTGCTTTGACCAGAAAGGTCACAAGTCCTTCATGCATATTGGACTCTGGCCACGGCTCTGACAAACACCTGCCTCAGTGACAGCGCTGTCAAAACACCGAGCTTTAAAAACACCTGGCAATTTATAACTGCTGCCCACTCTGGGAAGAACTGCTGTACTGCATGCTGCAAGTTTTCAATCACTGCAGTGACCGTGTGGTGTGGGTAGAAAACAGATGATCTCCAGGATTGGTCAATCTGTGACTTCAAATATATCACTTTACTAACTGAGGTGTTAACATGACATTCTCCATATTATCAGTTAAATACATTTGACTAAAGGTGAATGTTTTTAATAAAACTTCCAGACACTCGTCGTGCTTAAAGTATCCCAATATATCGCAATACATCGTATTGTTGCACCTGTATTGTGATACATATCGTATTGCAATATTGGACATCCCTAATATATATATATATACACATATACATATATATACATATATAAACATATACATATATACACATATACACATATATATACATATACATATGTACATATATATATCTCAACTCTGAATGAATACGTATGTAATTCATAATTAATAACGACAACAGTAATAATTTTTTCTCGCAGCTCGTTGAGTGCCCTCTACTTTCACTTAGCTCTCACCTCTCACAGAGCCAAGTGCACATTTTTGGAGAGGCCCAGGGCAGTGGGCAGGCAGCAGACTAATTCACTGCAGTGTTCAATCAATGACAAACTACAGACCTGCTGGGTCTGCACAGTTCTCCATCACACAGGAGACGACTTCCATGGAATGAGAAGCTAAGCTACTCTTACATTAGGCCCCGGTAGGACAGGGTTACTGCATGTCACGGGGGAAGAACTTGTATACATCAGGTAGCAAGTTATGAATGGAATAAAGTATAAAAACAAAGTATGCAGTTATACATGAAAAATACTTTCTAAATGTGGAGCATTATTAATTAATCTCTCAATTTTTGTACATAGTAAAAGGTTGTTTCCTGTGATGTTATATATTTTAACTTGGGATGTTGGATATTAACTTGTTGCCGATGTCTGACATGCCGATGTTAATTAAATGAGCTGCAATGCTGCCATCTAGTGACTTTATATATTATCTATATTATATTATCAAACATCCCTAATTTTAATATAAAAAGTACTACAGCACACTTGACCAACAATTATAAAAATCCAGTCAGGGTTGACCATGTGTTATGTGGTTTGGCGCATTACCAAGTACCAGTAAAGAAGTCCACATGGTAGAACAGAGGTCAACATCAGGGCTTTGAGGGGTTTTCGGTCGGACTTGTGTTTGTCTGCTGCTGCCTTGCTAAAACAATGCAATGTCCACAAACAGAGGACGACTACTGAGTGCAAGTCACGTTCAAAAGCTCAGAGCCATAAAGATGGGAGATAAAAATGATCAAGATCCGAGCTGGCATTACCTGCAAGACGTGATCAAGTCCAAAAACACAGGCAGACGCTGAGATAAAGAGGGAAATAAATCAGTGGAGTTGAGCTGTTACCACAGACGAAGCCTTAACTTCTATCAGCCAGACGGCAGCAACAAGAAAAAAAACAAAAAACCAAAAACATCCAGCTCAAATACAGCACTCCTCCTCACAGATGATCTAAATAAAAATTACTTTCGTACTTTTCATTACGTTTCTAATTGGGAGAAACAGTTTACTGTACATTTACAACCTTTTTTCCACAGCAGCTCTATTTATACTAGGCCTGTGTATCAGCAAGAATCTGGCAATACGATACGCATCACCTTACAGGGACGGTGACACGATATATTGCGATATACTATGATACTATAGGCATGACCATATACTGAGTTTTTAGACGGTGTAGCTGTAGTCCCAGTGTGATCCTAGTCTCAGACTCTGCTGTTGTTCCATCTGAACATCAGTTCCTAACACTGGAACAGAGGGATCTACATTTGGAAAAAAGAAAATGAACCAACACCAGGAATATTGGACTGGGAATTGGTGAAACAAAACAGTGCGATATTTCAGTGTATCAATATTTACACCCTAGTTTGTACAACCACAAATATAAAGGTATGACACGTCTAGTGCTCATTTAAAAAGAAACAAATATTTACCATCATTTTCTGTAATTGAATTGCCAGTGAAGAAAGAAATAAAAAGACAAGGAAAGACAAAAGAAATAAAATGAAATGTCTTTATCTCTTTTTTTTTTCTTTAACACCACCAGGTTAGAAATACCTTCTAAAAAGAACAACAGAGAAGAGCTGAACTGACATAAAGTGTTTCTCATCTAGACCTCTGAGGAAAAGCGCCGGAGCTGATGTCTGTACGGTGGATCAACGGTGTCATTTTTTTGCCTACCTTTTTTCCTGTTGAAGGCGCGGTTCATAGTGGAAAAATGTGCGTCTCCAATGACTCTCTGGAGGTTCTGCCAATATTGCACCTGGAAAAGCAGCAGAGAGACGGGAGTTACAAAGAGCCTGGCACCAGAGGGTTCAACAGAGTGCAGACGGAGTGAACTTTTTTTTTTTATAATTATAAAGCTGTTCCAACAGGCTCCTGAACAAATATACCTCACACACATCAGAGTCAGAGTCTTCTCTGGTCAAACTGATAATAATGTGGTTTTTACTGCTTTACTATTGTTTTTCTACTAAAGACCGATGAAGGTGAAGTCAATGCAATGTATCACTGTATCACCCCCGGTGGTCAAATGTTAAATGGAAGCTACAGGTGCTGTAAAACTAACCTGATATGATGTTAGAATATCACACCGTTACAGACGACTCAGCTTCAAATTAATGTCTGAAGGTCAGCGGCTTAAACAGATAAACATTCTAAAAACCACTGTCTAATAGGACTAAACTGGAGAACATGGAGGACCCCCTCCAAACACACAGAAGAGAAGAACTCAGTACAGAAGAACCATCATTTCAAACTATAAAAGAGAACACTAAAAAGTTGGAGTATGAAGAGAACATTTTAAAAAAGTAAAGAAACCCATCAGTTTCTGTCTTTTTATGACCAGTGGACAATGGACGGCGAAAACGTTTGTTTTATACACCCTGGTGGGTGGAGGTCCTTGAGGTGCTCTCAAGTATCTGTCCCTGATGTGAGGCATCTCACTGGCCTCTCGATGATCACGTCCAGACAGCTGGAGTGCTGCGCTGTTATTTCCCTGAATTGCCATCGAAAAAAACCAAGGTTGAAAGAAGAATCTTTTAAAAACACAAAGCTAACCACTTAGTAGAGCGCTTCATCGTCACCGAGTTCATCATCATCATCATCATCATCTTGTGACACTCCTTGACACCGGTTACATCGACCACATTCCATATTTCCATTGTAAAATAATAGTGAACAGTGTGTCATTGTGACACTCAGGAGAAAAAAAATAGAGTTTTAAAACATTTTTTTTTTTAACTCAAGGAACTCTCGGACCTCAGGCTCTTGAAAGAGCTGCAGAAAATTTAAATGGAACAAGCTTCAGGGTGGAGGCTGTGACATTCCACAGACTGCCAAAACATAGGATCGCTGCAGTTGGAGGGGTGGGGGTGGTGGTGATGGTGGGTGGGGGGGTACTTACAGGTCCAACATAGTGCTGCTTAAAAGACTGTGGTCAGATGGACAAGGACACCAGAAATGTTTACTTTTCACCAGCAGCAGACGACGCTGCAGAACAGGAAGTACCTCATGAAAAACTGGGAGGCGGTTGGCTCGGTACCTTTATGGAGAGTGAGTTTGAAAAATCTTTTTTTGATTAAAATGCCTTCACTCTGGACAATAACATTTTGTTCTGGGCCGAGACAGCGCGGCTACCGCTGCGTTTGTTTGTTTGTTTGTTTGTTTGTTTGTTTGTTTGTGGTGAACTGTGATGTCATGCTACGACCCACCTGGCTGTTACGTCACTCACTCTGACTGACAGCCAGTGTCAGCCTGTTTTAATAGCTTCCTGTTTGGTGGTCCAACAGCACCACCTTGGAAAAAGTGCCAACCCCACGACACAAACACACACGGCCTCTTCACACAGAGCTGTGAACTTCCTCAGTGTCGTTTCACTGTTTACTACTGCAGTCGGTGCAGCAGGTAAGTACTGCACAACACACCGAGTACAATCAGATAAGATATACCAGTGGAGGAATACACCACAAGTACTGAGTACACATGGATCATGAAGCTTATGTGATACGATGATGTTACAAAATATTTGTTCTACTTTTTGATGTGTTTTCATTGTAAACAAATATTGATACAATGAAATGTTGTGATATTTTGTTTTAAGGTACTGTATCAGTATTTTACTGTATAAATTCACTGTAATTTTTTTTTTTTACAAATGTCCGATAATAACTTTTTACCGATTTATACCTGATTGCGATATCAACCAATACCGATATTTCCCAAACTCTTTTTCTGGGGGATCCATATTTTAAAAGTCACAAACCTTCGTGACCCACGTTAACAGACATTATTCGTAAACTTCTGGGAAACGATGCAAATGATGCAAAACGACCCACCTGAGGGTCGTGACCCAGTTTTTGGGAAACAATACCCTAGGGGACAGAAGCTTTTTCACCCCCTCTTTTGAGATTAACAGTCAAATATTCATGGCGAGATTTCCCACATTTAAATTATTAATGCAAAACTCAATATATCAATATGCCTACAGCATCAAAATATATTGTATTATTACCCGTGTATCGTGATACATATCGTATCATAACACATACCAATTTTCCATACATGAACTGTCTACAAGTCCAAACACAGAGTATAAAAATAAAACCAAATAGTTTTCATTAAACTGTTAAAATGTTGCATGAATGTCTTTCTGTAAACACTCCAAAAGAAATATTAACTTTAACTTTTCATTCATGACCAAATATCTAAAAGTAAAATGTGAGTGATTCAGCACTAACGGGAAAGAATGTTCTTCAACATCAGCCACTTAAATCATTTTCCACAAGGTACAGCAATAATCACATCCAGACTCCCAGCAGGCAG